ACCCGTCCAAAAGACCGTTGCGGAAAGCTGAATTTAGGAAACACCCAGGTCCAAAAGCCATGAGCGTGGCCATCTTTGTGACCGCTGCTCTAGCGGTGGGTGCGTGGCTGGTGTATCGGAAGGTCACCTTCGTGTCTTCCAAAAGGTTTATCGAACTCCGGATGGACGAGACGGATCCGATCATTGCAGATTTCACAGACGAGGTTATGAGTGGCATCCCGGAGGCACCAGCTACGAACCTCAAGCGCAACCTCAGCGAAGACCCCGATCTGGTTGGAGCTTGGCGCAGAGGACTGAACGGCTATTAGCGTCCGAAACCATCGTTAGAGGCCTTAGAGTTGGTGAGCATTATATAGTTTGTTTAATTCTGAGTTCAGCTGACCATAGATCTTTATTTATTGTGACTCGAAGTATTAAGCGTAGGTTTCCTATATCTATACCTGGCAACAGGTTCAGAACCCAGTGGATGTTCCCTCTTCAGCACGAGCTCGTCGACTTCCACCGGGCTTTGCCTCCACGTGGGAAGATATGCTATCAAAGGCAGAAGGCTCGCGCTGGATGCGGAGCATTTTCTCGGCTATAAACCTATCACCGACAATAAGTAATTAAGATGACCGTACGCAACTGCACATTAAGAAATAGGTGTAGTTTTTAACGTTCGTCTGTGTACTTCTACTTAATTTCTGAGCGACGCGCCACCCTTCTAACTTTGCGCAGCCGTTTACGTACCAGGGCTCAAATAATGTCGCGGTCATTTCAACATTGGCACTTGACCCTGTTTGGTATTCCAGAAACTCAGGAGTGTCTGTCGGTTTCGAGGCAGCGCATGCTGATTTATTCTTATTAACATTGTTGTTGTTTCGCGATCTATTCACCCGCCCACTTCACCTTATAGAGACAAAGCAACGAGGAGTCTCGAACCAGGTAGCTTTATCTTCATGACCTTGATATTCGTTTCCCGTAGGAGACACAGCCGCCCCAACACGGATCTTTGTTCCCCCCGCTGTTTTTCCCGCCAGACGCTGTTCCGCCTTCCGTTCTATCAGGGTCGAATTATACGTCCAGGAAGCATCCAGGGAACAAGGTCTCGGCGGCCGTACCTTGCCTCCCTAACCAACAGGCGTGCGAAGGCTCCATTCCACACTCAAGATACGTCTTCGACGAGGACAAAGGAACTACAAGGCGACCTTCCAGCAGTCCTGCTTATTTTTAGCCTCCACATCGAAGCACGGTTGAAAGAAGTAAAAACAGACAAAAGGGAAAAGCATCACAGCCCGACTTTCGACGGGGAAAGGCCACGGGAAGTTTCAAGAGCAGCCGAGCCGTTTGTTGACTGCCGTATCCGTCGGGCTATCTCGGCGCCCAAACGTATACCGTGTGGTCGCCGAGCTCGCATGTTCCTAGACGACGAAAGGCAACCGCGGGGGGTTTCCTGCATTGTGCGACCGCCTCCCTTCTTGTCCGCGAAACGGCTGCAGGAATATCGGACGGAGAGGAAGAGCCCGGAGTCGATTTATCTTTTCTGCCCGAGCCGTGTTGTCTTTCTTGCAGCTGCTGCTTGCGTCGTCGCGTGTATGTTTGCTTGCTTGTACCGCGTTCTATCCACGTGAGATTTCGTCGTTGTCGGGGATCTTCCGAGTTTAACCACTATAGCCAGGCATCTCGGAGTTCACTGACTTTCGAGGGTATTTTGGTTTAGGGAAGGAAAGCCATGCACATGTTTCGGAATGGCATCCTTTTAAAGTTAGATAGCTATAGGGACATTTCATATTTTTTTTTTTTTTGCGTCCGGAGAAAGTGTGTTAACGCTGTGAAGAAACGCGACCCGTTAGCCCTCTGCAAAGGTATTTATCAATCACGAGTGAAAAAACGCTTCAAAGAAACGTTTAACAGCAATACATGCTCGAGCCGTGGACATTCGTGACTTTTTATAGGCCCATACAGTCACGTAGCCAGGATTTTGATTCGGGGAGGGGGGGGGGGGGGGGCATGCCCATGGCAAAACGCTGCATAAGGGGAAGGGGGGAAAGGAGGGTCCCAGCAAAATTGACGATCTCGGGGGGAGGGGGGGGGGGGGGAGCCCGGGCCCCATGCCCCCCCCCCCCCCCTGGCTACGTGTCTGGGCCCAGATAAGCATATTTTCGTAATATACTTCGCTACAACGGGTAACCATTTGCTAGGTAATGTTTCTGTTACTTGATCAACGTTAGGGCATTCACTGGCTGTAATTTCCGTATCCAGCACTGCATACTTGACGTGCATAGAGAAAAGCACATTTTTGCGCATTAATGTTTTGACCGATTACAAGTTAGGGGCCCTACACGCAACGCGTTCGCGTTTCGGCTTTATGATATATATAATTGAAGCCAATAAAAAAAAGCTAAGCTTAGAACTTCGACACTCCAGTCGTCTAATTTCTTGTGGACGCCGCCATTTTGTTGCCTAGTGCAACAAAATTTAATATATTTGACGGACAAAAATGATTAAATATTTCTGAAGGACAAAAACACGTTTAAAGTTATTCCACACAAAACTTCGAACAACTGTCAACACGGCTTTTGAGCGACACGATCATTGAAAGAGTTCTTACTGTCTGAAGCAGATCTCATTCAGTGGCTTTATATGCACATTTTTTGCCGTTGTGAGCTGAACTTGTACGTTTTTTTTCTTCTTTTCAAGTTCGGTGTTTTTTGAGGATTAAGATATTGTAACGCCCTCGCAGTCAGTGGACTCGAATATTCTGAATTCGCTACAGCGCTCTCTCGATGAATCGAACCTGAAAGTGTCTTCGTTGTTTCAATATCACGAAGTAAAATGAAATAAAATAAAAAGTCCGGGTCAGCGCGAGAATCCTGCATATATTCAACCTGCTTAACTCCGGTCATCCGCCGTAATTTCTTAGAGCAAATACGAACGCTTAATTAATTTACTGCGAAATAAAGATATGGTCAAGAAAACGGTTTCATACGATAACACTACTCTGCTGCTGTGAGCGCTCAGGAAATTTCCAACAGAATCGCAATAACACCTTATTCCATTACAAAAAAAAAAAAAAAAACAACAACAAAAAAAAAAAACGAACGGTTAAGTTTTTTTTTGTGCATACTGGATAGCTAACGCTTGTGTGTTCTTCATTAGGCCACTTTAAGAGCTCCTGCGTGCCTCTCTCTTCATGCCAATAGACCCTTTACGAAAGTCAGTCTACCCACCTTGTGCAGAGCCAGACCCGACGCTCTAATGGCGGAACTACACTGTTTCTCCACACCAGAAAAATCGAACGTCTTCGAAAGCATAGAGCAGAAAAAGGAAAAGATGTTGGTCCTTTCACGTCACCTTCGATGCACGGAATTGAGGGTGTTTGATTTAGCCGCGCATGATCTCCTATCACCGCCATTAGAGCGGCAATAATGGAGCTTTTTATACTGCCACAAGAGGACTCTGACTTTTGAAAAGGGTCTATTGTACGTAGAGTAACCGACGGCTTAGCAAACGCAAACGTTTAGGGCGTGGCTTACGATGTTCATGCTTCTTGCTTCGTGATTGGTTGTTTGCAGTTCTTATTGGCTAATGCGGCAATCTGATTGGCTGCGCGACTATAATGAGATGCTTGGAGCTCGCCGTGCTCTGCGTTCCTTTTAAACTCGGTGACCCCATATACAGTGGTGCATTCAATAAAAAAATAAAATGCCCTAACTTTTTTTTTTTCGAGGATTTAATATTAAAATAAATTTCCAAACAGATATTTCAAACAGTTTTAATATTCCAAAGGAAACAACATACATCTTAGGCGGTAATTAGTAATATAAAAAAAAAAAAATGAACGGGGATAGCCTATTTTTTTTTTATTTACGAGAAAATTACGAAGGATTTTATTAATAATTATAATACCATGTACTGGATTATTGAACTCCACTATCCTGTGGACATTGAAAACTTTGTTTAAAAAATTAAATAACAGCAGGAATACTTCATACAATATACATAAATAAAAATGATTGACACCGAAAGAAAGAAAAAAAAGAGAAGACAAGATGGTTAGAAAAGAAAAATGAAAATTCTCGGTGAATGCATTCTCAAAGTCACATTGGTATCCTCCAATGCGTAGGTACGTGTTTCTGTTTTTTTTGTTGTTAGTTTCCAAACTGGATATGCATTCAAAGGAATACAAGGCACCCGATGCAAATAAATAGGAACAGTGCAAGTCGGAAGGGCCGAAAGTTTTCGAGCTGTGTTCCAGTCTCTCCAACGATTCGAACCCTGACTTCGCAGCTTCAGCCCCGCCCAGCGGGAAGTCTGTCGCTACGTGTTCCCGCCCTGTACACAAAAAACAAACAACGACGCCTTGTTTCGCTAGAAATATGGACACATCTTCGAAAAAACAAACAAACAAACGAGTAACTCATTTTCTGGATAAAACGTAAAAAGGTGATCGTAATAGTGGTCATAATATAAATTTCCGGTTCCAATTTTTTTTTTTTTTAATTTGATGTGTTGGCTATGGATTGGCTTAAAAGGTAGCCATATGATCTTAGAAAAAAATTCCAGGTTTTACTTGTGCAGTCAAAAATATTTTTTCCTGGTCAAAGATCTGCTGAATGATTTAAAGCTGTGAGAAGCTAGTATACAGTATTACCATAGATATTTTCCTTTTATTTGTAGTGATACTCTTTCCTAAGAATTATTGCTATTTCTTCTTAATTTGGTTTTTCAATGTATACAGATTTAGTATTTCCTTTCCTATGTCGGCTATTGGAATACATGTCTGATGCTTGTTCCAGTGGAATACCGAACTCTGTCATCGATATGATTTTTTTATCTGTTTGCCTGGTATTGCCAGAGACACGAACTATATTTTATTCGCCAGCGAACTTTGTAAGTTTATCGAAATCTCTCATTTCGGAGCACACGAATACACGCACGCACACATACGCACATACGAACGGCGGTCCGCAGATTCAGGGGAAGTTCTTTAGAGCTTGCCGCTCCCGGCAGGCAAGTTGTCAGTGTAATCGGACCTTGAGGACCTCTCGAGGCGCGAACGGACATCTTGTGTAGATCTGGGAACAGTCCCGTCGACCCAGTCCGTGCCTCGCTGCTTTCAGTAGATCTCGCACCATCGTCTTGGTCCCAGGTCCGAATGCAGACCTCTCGATTCGCTGCTCCACCCTTGGGCACATTGGAAGTACCAGAAGAAAAGCAAAATTCAGAGGAGAAACGAGCAGTTTTGGAACAACCCGTGGCTCGTAAACATCAAAGGTACGCGTAGCTGTACGGGTAGAAACAAAGGGAGAGGAGGAGGAGAGTAGAGTGCGGAGGAGACGTCGGAACGACGAGCTCTGGTTGGAATGATTAGGGTAGACGGAAAGCTAGCAGCATTTGTCCCTATACGCGCTGTTCGAACGCGTGCGAATGCGAACGCTGGCGTTCGGCGTTCGAACACATTCTAACATTTAGTAGAGACAAAGGCACCTAGTTCTGCGTCTCTACTCCCTCACCATTCCAAACAGAGCTCGGTGTTTTCACGTTCCCGCGCTCTCTTGTCTTTTCCTCCTCTCCTTCAGTGTCTGCCCGCGTTGAACTTATTCTGCTCAAGCTTGGTGGTGTCGTTGTGTCACTCAACGCTTGCGGGCACCGTGGTCGCACAAGCTGACTTTTTTTTTTCTTCAGATGTATTCTATATAATATAGAACGCAATAATATTTAGAAGCTCGGGGTGAACACTTTGAAAGTTGCTCGTCTCACGCTTTACCGCGGTCTCGAAAAGGCTTTCTTGGTGCTCAAAGCTCGGCATCCTGGTATTCCCGGTGCATCGTATTATTTACCTGCACCAGCCCCCACCGGGGCAGAAAAGTACAGGGAAATGTACTTCTGGTTGTGTTGAGACGGGCTAGCTGCTCTCTTAAATGGAATACGGCGGTGAGCACCGAGTGCAGCTGGGGCAGGAGGTCAAGGTAAACCAAGCGCAGCAACTACAGTGTGTAAAAAAGAATATTTTCTAAATTAGTTTTTAATAAGCTACGCATCGCCAAACGCTCATTCTCCGCCCAAATGTAGCGCTAGCGGTCCGAACCAGATGGCAAAGTTTAAAAAGTAACCATATATATATATATATACAGGGTGTTTGTTTTTTAAGCTTGTGGGGTTCGCCTTCCGCCGTCCGCCGCAGGCGATCAACCAGACGACTCGTTCTTCGGGGTCAAACAGGGTTTATTACCATGACTCTGGTCCAGACTCGGGGCAACCACTGCTTTCGGCCACACGGGCCATCCCTTTTCTACCCTGTCGCCGCCGGGTGCCGCCCCCCCGCTAGTCGCCGGTTTGGCCGCCGTGTGGCGGGCCGAGCGCCCCACACCTCCCCCCCCTTTTAGAGGTCGAGGTCTAAGATGGCCTCCTCGTGGGCCGGGTCGCGGAGCAGATCCGGGCGGACTTGGCGGAGGATCCGGATGGCTTCCGCGACCTCCAACGGGCGGGGGGCTGCCGGAGGTGCAGCAGGAGGTGGCGCGGCTCGGCGAGCCCAGTCCGCCGCGACGCGGGCCTGGTGCAAGGCGCCCGCGAGGTGGGTGGGGCGGTGGAGCTATATCTGGCGCCCAACGGGGACTCTGTCGTCCGTCGTCGGTGATCTCGACCAGACGGTTCGTCCTCCCTTTCTTCTACTTTGCGTTTCTTAATTTCTTTTCGGTCGTTGATTCGTCGCGGTTCGCGTTTATATTTTTTCTATATCACGTCGTGTTTTTCTTATTCATTGTGACTTTTTGCGCGCTCGCTTATCACCGCGGTGTGCACGTCGCTGACGGTGCGGTTTTCTTGGCGTAGTTTGTTGGCGCGTTTTTTTTCTTCCCTCGTGTTCGCGTGTGCTGTTTTTTTCCCTTGTCGCGCGTTTTTCTTTTTTCCATGCCTCCCAAGAAACAGTCCCAGCCCCCGTCCGACCACGGCGACTCCAGCGAAGAAGACGCGGAGCCCGGTCCGTCGTCGGCTGAGGTCCTGGCGCTCATGGCCCGAATGTCCGCCACCCTCCAGTTGGTGACGGAGCGCCTCGCAACCGGCACGGGAGGAGCCGGCGGCCATGTGCAGCAGCGTGGGCCCGAGCTTCACCCTCGGCTCACGGTCCCCGTGTACACGGGGTTCGACGACAGGAAGTCCGTCGCCGACTTCCTGGAAGAGCTGGACGTCTACGCCCGAGCGTCCGGCGCCTCGGAGAGCTACGTGCTCGAGCGCATCCTGCCCCTCGCCTTACAAGCGAGCGCGAGACGATGGTGGGTGTTGCAAACTCCCTTTCCGTCCCTAGAGGCGTTCCGTCGTAGCTTCCGAGAAGAGTTCCTGCCACCGGGGTACGACTCCCGAGTCCAGCGGGAGCTCGAACGACGTACCCAGCATCCAGAGGAAGGCCTCGTCGAATACATCCGGGCCATGCAGGAGCTGTTCAACCGAGCGGCGAAAGCTGCTCCCGAGTCGGAGAGGGTTGCACGCATCATCCGACAGAGCCACCCCCGTTACCACGTCTATCTTCAGGGGCGGCGGTTCGAGAGCGTGGAAGACCTCGTTCGTGCGGCGCGCGGCGTGCAAGACATGATCCTGGCCAGCGTGGACTACCGGCCGCCGCCCCCCGCCACAGAAGCCCTCGAACCATCGTGCGCGTGGTCGCCACCTGCACGCACCGCCCTGGAACGCACCCCTCCGACTCACCGCCCACCCGAAAGGGTCGGCGCCCACGCCTACTTGCCCCGCGCCCTGGACACCCTTGAGTGCACTCGGGATGGCGACGGGAGGCTCGGTGCTGCATCACCGGCTGGGGTCAGCGTGAGCTTAAATTCCCGACCGAGGGAAGCCCCAGGCGCCTGGGATTGGTCCCCCCAGGGCCCGCACTTGGGTGGAAGCCCGCCGCGGGTGCCGCGAAACCCCGAGAGGGGCCGGCTGCAGTTCCCGGACAGCGAAAGCTGGCTGCATGACCCTCGGCGAGATCTTCAGATGGCCGAAAGGCCCCAGCGCCAGCCGAGAGGCGGCTGGCAACGTGGGAATGACCCGGCGGAGCCGAGAGGCAGCCGGCGACGTGGGAGTGAACGGGGCAACGTGGGAACCCAGCGGCAGAATGACTCCTGCTACAACTGCGGACAGCGTGGCCACTTCCGCAGCCAGTGCCCACAACGGCGGCCCCGTGAGCAGCGAGAACTGCCTGACCAGGGAAACCGAGGCGGCCCGCGGCGCTGAACCCGGAGACCTCGCCGCCCAAGGCCGCCACCAGCCCCGGGAAATGTAAGTCGCCGGCAATACTTCCTTCTGTATGTCGAGTACGACCTACGAACCACAGCATCGAGCCTAGGATAACGATTTCTCTGCTCGGAGTTCTTTTCGCCGCCCTGTTCGATACCGGCGCGGGAGTTTCGCTTATCGGCGACGTGGTTTTTGAACTCTGCAAATCAAAAAATGTTAAGCTCCGTTGTTCGAGCACGCTTTTGCAGTTAGCGTCAGGCGCGCAAACAAAAGCAGCAGGCGCAGTAAGGCTGAGGATTTCTTTCGACGGAAAAACGCCGCGTCAGCGTTTCCTTTATCTGCCAGGATTGGCCGTACCTGTTATCTTGGGCCGAGATTTCATTGCAGACGAAAAAATTTCGCTCGACTTTGCTGCCGGCGGGTATCGGCTGGACAACCAGCCACACGTGACCCCCTTCACCAGACGTGAAGACTGCGTCACCGGCGCAACCCTTCCGACCCACTACACAGCGCGGCCAGCTGCAGTTCTTCCTGATGGCATCCGTGACGCCCTCAACGCGTGCCCAGCAACCAGCTCGCAAAAGCAGCAGCTCGAGAGCATCCTGCAGCCGTTCGCAACGATGTTCACGGAAACCCCGGGCAAGACCGACGTGTTGCTACACCGCATCGAGACTGGTGACGCCCGACCACTGCGGTGCAACCCTAGGCCCCTCAGCGTCCACAAGCGAGCCCTACTAGACGCAGCACTACAGGAGATGCTGGATACCGGAGCAGTGCAAGAGTCCCAGAGTCCATGGGCCTCCCCCGTCGTCTTGGCTCCGAAGAAGGACGGCTCGGTACGACTTTGCGTGGATTATCGCCGCCTCAACGCAGTGACGGTGAGAGATTCGTACCCCTTTCCTTCCATTGACTCGGTTATGTACGCGATTGGCAACGCGAAAGTGTTCACCACTTTGGACTGCAGTCGAGGTTTTTTGCAAATTGAGATTGATCCAGAGGACGTGCCAAAGACTGCGTTCACTTGCCACAGAGGATTGTTTGAATTTACCCGCCTCCCCTTTGGCCTTTCCAATTCACCCGCTAGCTTCCAGCGCTTAATGGATATCCTTCTCGGCGACACAAAATATAAATTCGCCATGGCATACATGGATGACATCGTTATTTTTTCCCAGACTTTCGAGGAACACCTGAAGCATCTTGGGATCGTCCTCGAGCGCCTGCGCAACGCCGGCCTGACGATTCACCCTGACAAGGCGCAGCTCGCTTCACCACAAATTAACCTCCTTGGCTTTGTAGTGGACAATGGAGTTCTTCGCCCCAACGAGGACAAGCTGCGTGCAATAACAGAGTATCCGCAGCCACACGACGTCAAGAGTTTGCAGCGGTTTCTTGGATTGATTGGGTTTTATCGCCAGTTCATCCCTCGCTGCGCCGAGATTGCTAACCCCCTGACCTTGCTCTTGCGCAAAGGCGAGAAATGGCGGTGGGGGGAGGATCAACGCGTCGCTTTCCTTCAGCTCTCGAAAGCGATCACCGACGTCGTCTCTTTGAAGTTGCCGGATCTCAACCGACAATTTGTCGTCCAAACAGATGCCAGCAACTTCGGCCTGGGCGCAGTCCTCCTTCAGGAACACGACAACGTTCTTCGCCCAGTCGCCTTCGCTAGCCGCACGCTGACAGCGGCCGAGCGAAACTACTCCGTGACGGAAAAGGAGTGTCTCGCCATCATCTTCGCCCTCAAGAAGTTTAACATGTATCTCGATGGCGCTTCCTTTCAGATACAGACGGATCACCAAGCGCTCTCCTGGCTGAAGAATTTGCAGAATCCAGCCGGACGTCTTGCACGATGGGCTCTGACACTGCAAGTGTACGACTACACTATCGCCTACAGGAAAGGAGCAACTAATATTGTGGCAGACGCACTGTCACGGGCTCCTTTGCAGGTCCCTCCCACTGAGACGGAACCGAAGTTGGTGGGATTAACCGACATCGTGGCCCGCACTTCGGAGTCACGGTGGGGGACGTTGGTGAGCAGAGCAGACCTCCGCAAGGCCCAGCAGGAAGATGGACTTTGTCGACGCGTGTGCGAGAGCCTTGCGGCACGAAGAGCAAGCGGCACCGGAAGCGACGACGAGTCCGACTCGTACCTGCTGAGCGAGGACGGACTTCTTCTCCGCTACATCCCCCAGGCAGACGACGACAGCGATGGATCGCCTTTCCGGATTGTGATACCTCGGAAGCTGCGCAAATCATTCATCAGGTACTTCCATGATTCAGCATTAGCGGGTCACAGCAGCGGCAGTAAGACTTACGATAAGTTATGTCGTGTTGCGACTTGGCCAGGAATCAGGCAGGATGTACTGAAGTATGCTCGCAGTTGTCCAGTGTGTCAGAAGGCGAAACCTCGCGGAGGCCAACCACCAGGATTAATGCAGCCAGTCGTTAGCCAGTCGCCTTGGCAGATTGTCGCATGTGATGTCATGGGACCGTTTCCACGTAGTCCTCGCGGAAATCAGTACCTACTTGTTGTGACTGACCACTTCACCAAGTGGGTCGAACTGTTCCCCTTACGGAAGCTTCTTTCGCAGCGGATCTGGGACTGCCTTCTGTCCGTTTTCACGAGATTCGGCTTTCCTGCAGAGCTCATCACGGACGGTGCTTCGTACTTTCGAAGCAAGATTTTCGTCGACACCTGCGCTGCGCTTGGAATACGGCACAAGCTGACTTCGCCGTATCATCCGCAAGCCAACATCACGGAGAGGATCAACCGCAACCTCAAAATGATGTTGATTTCCCACACAGCCCGTCACAAAGACTGGGATGCCAAACTCGACGAGATGGCATTTGCAACGCGCACCACGGTCAACCGATCCACTGGTTTCACGCCTGCCCGTCTCAACTTTGGTAAGGAGCTAACCTTCCCAATGGAAAATTCATTTCTATACACAGATGTTGCGCAGAATGGACGCCCATACGCGCAGTTCGCCCAGGACGTCCATCACCGACTCTCGTCGGCCATTCGTGAAGCACGAGAGAACCTCGACGTCGCTCGTCTTCAACAGGCCGCCCAGTACGACAAGGGCCGCCGCAGTGTCCACTTTCAGGTTGGAGACCTGGTACTTCGTCGGACACATCCCCTCAGCGATGCGTCGAAAGGCTTCGCAGCATCCCTCGCCAACCGTTGGGATGGACCCTTTCGCATAACGGACACAATTTCCCCGCTGAGCTACCGCCTAGCACGACTGCATGGTACACAGCAGTACGGCCCAATTCACGTGTCTGAGCTCAAGCGTTACTGCGAGCCAGCAGTTTTTCCGCAGGTCCCGGACATCCCAGCTCCCAGCCAGCCCTTGGACCACGGAACTACGCCCAGGCGGTACAACCTACGCCCTCGGTGACTCATCACCTGTTCTATTCATATCCCTTTTTTTGGCTGGCTGCGTCTCTTCGCGGAGAGGGGGGGAGAGGATCCATCTCCTTCCCGCGGGTCTGCCCTTTGTTTTCACAAAGGGATTGTTCTGTTCGCGAGTGTCTCCGAGCATGTTTGACGTATCACAACCAGACCCGTTAATTCGTCCTTTTTCTTCGTGTGCCCGTTCTCTATTTCCTCCGCAGGATCGTCACTGCCACCAAGAGCGTTCCCGCCACGCCTATCATTTCAGGCGATTGGCGGCACGCTTCCCGCCGCGCCGTGAGCGTGCCTCCGTCGCGACTTGGACTGTGCTGGTAGAGGACCGCCCGGTGGGCTGGGCCTCACCGCTACGCTGGAGGGAGCAGCCCCGGCCCGAGCGTGGCGCGCCCCCGGAGTCAGTCCCCGAGCCTTTCCGGGGCAACACGCTGGAGGACCGGCACCCGCACGAGCCCGCGGCCGTATACTACGAGGCGGAGCGCCGCCTGCTGTGCCCCGTCTGCGGGGTGCCGGAGCTCCACCGCCCCACGTTGGGCGCCAGATGTGGGGTTCGCCTTCCGCCGTCCGCCGCAGGCGATCAACCAGACGACTCGTTCTTCGGGGTCAAACAGGGTTTATTACCATGACTCTGGTCCAGACTCGGGGCAACCACTGCTTTCGGCCACACGGGCCATCCCTTTTCTACCCTGTCGCCGCCGGGTGCCGCCCCCCCGCTAGTCGCCGGTTTGGCCGCCGTGTGGCGGGCCGAGCGCCCCACAAGCTTAACAGAATTATTTTCTCAAAAGCCATAAAAGCTAGATTAATACGGTGCGCAGGTATGTTATACGGCCAGGGGGACATAATATAGGAGGCTAATCGTAACGATCAGTCGGCTAATTAGTTAAAATTCGTTAATAACCTTTTTAATTAATGAAAATAGACATATAGTTTCAATTAGAAACTTGCTGGGCGTCATCGAAAACCCCTATATCAGTCATTTTCAGAAAGCCTTTGAGCGCGTGAGAAGCGTAATAGTGCACTAAACTTAGCACTCGTGGATCACGTACAATGCTAGCGGTTGCGATAAGGCGCCCGCGCAATTTTTTCGTCTCTTATCTAGCCCCAGCATTGTACCTGCTCAATGAGCGGTAACTTTAGTGCGCAACTACGCTTCTCACGCGTTCAAAGTCTTTCTGAAAATTACTGATTCAGTGGTTTTCAATGACGCTGAGCAAGTTTATAATTGGAACTATATCTCTATTTTCATTAATTAAAAAGTTAATTAACGAATTTGAACGAATTAGCCGACTGATCGTTACGATTAGCCTCTATACTATGTCCCCCTGGCCGTATAGCTCACCTGCGCAGACCGCTTTAACCTAGCTTTCATGGTTTCTTTTTAAAAATTCTGTTAAGCTTAAAAAAAAAAAAACCTATATATATATATATATATATATGTATATATATATATATATATTTACATATAATCACGTCAGCCGACCCTAGCTCACGCATTGGACACGTGCACTGCGTCAGTGCCCTTTAGCGCTCTACGTCACTGGCCCCTATGGCCCAGTGTTGTGGACTATGTAATGCGAATCTTCTACATAATACCATGTACGTACATGCAACTTACAAAAACAACTAAAGCTCAATAAATGTTTTTTTTGTTTTTAATGTAGTTTGGTCGGAGCATGCTTCCGGGGTTTTCAGCTCACCCGAAGAGTCGGACGAGTCTGTCGGCGACCGAAGCCGCCTGGGGGCTGAGGCTGTCCCTGTGCAGCTCACAGGCGAGCCGCAGTCGGCAGTCCGGCTCGGTGACGTCGTACTTCTCGAGGACCTCGTCGACGCGCGACATCAGGTCCAGCAACGTCGGAGCGCTGCTGAGCAGGCTGGGCCTCTCGGTCGAACGCTTCACCAGCAGACCTGGGACACAACGAGGTCGAGACAACGAGTGGCGAGGTCTTACTCGGCAGTAAGCTGATAAGCTTAGATAAGTTGGGTGAGTTAGGGGTCGCTAAACATATTGAAAGAAACAGCGCCTGTTTGCAACGTGTTTCTCTTTGACCACTCGGTCCTGGCGCCGCTTTTCGTAAGCTTATACAGCTCGCGATGACCAATGACACGATCCTTCTATTTATTTTGCCTCCGAAAGCAAGCGACGTGTCAATTCCTCACTCATGGTCTACTTTATCAAGAAGGCGCTCATGAATTTTAGCGACGCACCTCGGTAAATATTTTGTTTCCTTCCAGCAATTGATTATCGATACCTGGGTTCTGTTATAGTCTTATTGACGAGTTACCGGCTAGAAACTAGAAATACTTCACACATTTTGAGTCCGGATTGGCCACGGCATTGTGCCACCGACTCTCAATTCCATAGCAGCACAGTTATAGCTACACAGACGGAGTCACTAATTGGGAAACTTATCTTCTGGTCGAAATCTGCTATGGTTACTGACAGCTGAACAAACGTTTAATTTTCAAGCTTCGTCAATCAGAATTCTTATCGGCTGACGCTGTAATCTCATTGGCTGCGGTGTGATGATAAGATAGAGCATTACATAAACCGCGAGACTGCAGGCAAAAAAAAAAAAAAAAAAGAAACATAGCATTAAAGGTTACGTCCCGCGTTTCTCAGTGAATGTAGGCGGGGAACGTCTTCCCAGGTCGTGGCCAGATACATCTTCAAAGCATAAGGAGCAGCTACTCCAAGCGTCCGCTGCTTCCAAAGTAATTCCCGATAATTTACACCGATTATTTGCTGTCTAATTTCCCGATTGATTTCTGAATTTTCTTCTAAGGTGATCTTGCAATCTCGTAGCCATTGAGTAACAACAAAGGTAACTGTGCTGCCCACAAGCCTACTATTTAAAAAAAAAATTTTTAGAAACATACGGATGTAGCGCGCACACCGTTGTTCAGAGATAGGGGTGTGTCGCAGACAGTCCAGGCGGCGGCCGCATATACCTGGGTTAAGGGCGAGGTTGTTTATGGCTTGTCCCGTGCCGGCGAGGCTAGCCGGTCCGGTGAGCACGAGCGGCAGCAGAGGCAGTGCCATGAGCGACAGCGCCAGGGCGATGGGCGAGTACCGCTGCAGGCTCGCCCACAGGGACTCCTGCTGCCGCGTCACCGGCGGGGCACCCAGGGACTCCAGCGGCCAGCAGAGCGCGATTACGAGCAGCAGGGATCGCGGGTTCATGGTGACTTTGTCTTCTGAAGTGGTAATTCCTGTTGAGACGTATGTGAAATCGTAGACGAAAAATTTGAGATGAGAGAGCAAATTGTATTTACCTTTTTAGAAAAACAGACAGGCAAGTAAAACAAATTACGTGCTTCTGCTTTGCTCGGTGAAACCGCTAATGCCTCTTCTCGCAGGTATTCTTGATGCTGTAACTTATGTGGATCAGAGTGAAGGCTAGCAAGCAGCAACCTTGATAATGACCTGTGTTACCAGATGCAAGGCCATAAAGTTAAACTGTCATTACCTGAACTTGTACATTGAAATGTCAGAGTAACCATGGCTGACCACAGGGTAAATCTATGGGAATCAATGTCCCGGGTACAATTATATATATTGTCACGAATGACGATTGATGAGGCAAAGATAACTGAAGAAACTAAACGATTAATGGGGCGAACTTGTGCTCAAACCAAAAGAAGGAAACAGAAGAAAACAGAGCGTCGCGGGCGTCGATGTCGGCGAAACCGCAGGATCGAGCGCAGGTGCGCGAGACTGCCTCTGGATCGCCACGCGAAGCCCCTTATGTACACGCGTGGGCTTCTGGAATAATCGGCATAGAAGGTTCGACGCGTAGAACATTAGGGCCTGGAACAAGCCGACATGATTCTCGAATTCTCCAGAACACTAAATTGCAGGAATAAACAAAAGACACGTCGCTCCCAGGAATCGAACCCTAGCTTTCCGAGTGGGAGACAAGCGCGATAACGATTAGGCCACGCGCGCGCTGCCTCATTGGCCCGCTGCGCGCGCGCGCGGCAATATATATATATATATAGACCTTTTTTGCAAGTGCGCCGCCATCTTTAAGTGTCGTCACTTCCAGTATGGGCGAAAACATTGTTTTGCCTTTGCCACGACAATAGAAGGCATTTAAGATTTAAGCGTAACCGTCACACTTTCTCGTTTTGCCTGCTCTCTATTTTTTTACTATTTGCAGGTTGAAAGGTTGGATTATTTTTTCGTCGCCCATACCGGATATGCCTATTGGGTAGCTGGGGACGAGAGTACACAGAAAAAGTATATGTATATATATATATATATATATATATATATATATATATATATATATATATATATATATATATATATATATATATATATATATATATATATATCTTTTTGGAAGTTAATTATTATTAATTGGCAAGAAACGTTGTAGACGTCTGGGTATTCGGAATAGGAGAATTAACAGTTAGGAGGGTGACCTTGCGGCAGGGAAGGCATCTCATGCTGGACACACTAAATCCCGTTGCGAAAACTCCGGGGGGATATGCTTGTGTAGCTTGAAATAACCACGCAGTTTTTTCTCGTGCTTAGCATCGTGTATGCGAAACATTTGTGATATTGCAAAAGGCATAAGATTGAACATTGTTGCAAAAAATGAGCGCTATGTGATCTAAATTCACGGATATTCTGACCACAAAATGCTTCCTTAAAGGATCGTCCGAAGCTAAACAAAATGCCTCTCAACTTTCTCTTTGGCAGGCATTAGTTTTGCATGATGAAAATCGGCCTAGATGCCAGCCATCAAAACCATAAATCAATTCTAGGAAGAAAAACAACAGTAAAACAAGTTTAAAAAAAGAAGGGGCATGAAAATAGAAAAAAAGTTCGGAAGCCAGGTTAATCCTCGTTACTACTGAAAATGGGTTTCTAAACGGTACTTACCCAGCCAGGTTCTACAGAGGCGTTTTCTGGGAACGTTGCTGCTCTGAGCCGGGTCACTGGCGTGGCGTTCGTCGGCGAGTCTGAGCTCCTTCTGCGAGCACGAGGGCACTCGCGACGAGCCAGAAAGCCCAAACAACCCGGGCGTGTTATGGGACGACCTAGAGGAAGGAGGCACCCGGGGAGGACCCCGTTACCGTTTCTTTTTTATTTCTTATTACAGCGTATGATTTTTGTATTTTACTTTGCATAACAACCCGTGCACGCCGGCAGCCTTCACCGAGTCCGACGAGCCTGCGCCGGTTGCAAAATCCGGTCCCCGTGGACGCGGAAGCGGCCCTTACGACGATTTGCCGACCGGGCCTCCGTGCTCAGCACGGCCGGCTCTTGCGTCCAATCGCTCGTCCGCCCCTCGCCCCTCTTGTTGAAAGGCCCTCGCGGTCAAGAACAGAGTTCAGCAACTGGCCGACATCCCCGCAAGGACACCGAAGAAGCACGACTCACACGAGAAGACACACCGCGGTCACCGCAGTCCTGGAACAACGGCACGCAAAGTTGTCTCGCGGAGAGTCACGTCTCTTACGGCACGCGGCGTCGTCGGTGTCACTCACGGCTGTCGAGATGCGTGTCCAACTCTTGTTGCCGAAACGGGCGCCGTATAGGCGTCGAGACCCGTTGGTCTGATTACGCGGTTGGTGTCGTGACGTAACTTGTTGCTGTCCTTATGTAAGAAACAGACTGCTCGTCCCCTGCGCAACGACTGCACTTGATGGACGGGTTGAACGACCTGTCCGCAATGTTCCATTGTGTCCTTGAAAACTCAGGCAAGAAGGGGTGGCGGGATGTGTGATGCTGTTGATGTCTCTGTCAGTTGTTGATTCATCTTGTGGAAGGCGTTTCGTCTTCGCTCACTTTCATCGAGAACTTCGCTAGCTGATTCTTTCTGCGTTTCTTTGAGCTTAATTTTGATGCAGTGGACTTCGCGTTCTATTTGCACGAGGTTCGTGCAAGCAGTCAGGAAGCTACTTTTCCTCGTGTTCCAGATACCGTAGGCGTGAGTACCGATGAAAGCGGTGATTGCGTTGACAGTTCTGGCTCTCGACTCGTAAACTGCGGTGTGAAGGCGGAGAGCGCCGATTTCACGACGTTCGCGCGTACACGAACGCGCCGCGCAGCAAAAGGGGCGGTTTGCCAACGCGACAGGTATTAAAAACTGCTCTAATTCACATCAGGGATAGGTAAAGATGCCCTTCCTATTGTTTCCATAGTCACTGGCAACTTCAAAAAACGCAGAGCGTGGTTTATTAAGTTTACTCTTCCTGCATCGTGATTTATCCTTCGGCGTTTTTACCGGATAATCCCGCAGCCTTACCGTAGTCATAATAAGATGTTATGAAGCAATGTGTAAGGCACAAAAAAAAAAAAGCAACGTACACAAGGAAGAAGACACACGCACAAGCGTCACTCACAACTAAATTTGAACTGTGCATACAAGAAAGAAATACATATCTCGTCACTTTCATCATGTTCCCGCATGCGCTTTATCATCCAGTCACAGAAACTTCTAAAAATATATCATGGTCGCATTATACAGCGCAATAGATGCTTTACTTGCACGTATTGTGCGCCCCTTTTTATTATAAAGAATGCTGCCATTAACTCGTGCGCTTTCTGGCTCTTGCCCTTACCCGGAATTGTTGTCTCAGAAACGCGCGGCTCACACTTACATTTTCTGCAGTGTTCAGACGAATGAGCCCCATCTTTCGTCTTTAAAGTTTGCGCGTCCACGCTTAGTGGGTCATTTGCACAGGTTCCCTTTTGTCCCACGTAGGACTTTCCACGCATAAAAGGGACTTCCTATGGGGAGTATTCACTGGACGCCGTATTGGGGCGTGCTGTTTAGAGTGCATGCTCAGAACGAGCTCGCATCAATAGGCTGCTAAGACCGGCACTCTTGATGGTGCGGAATGCGCGTTGCAAAAGAACTGTGGAAGCTCGCCATCAGCACGCTCTCAGCATTCACGCACACAGCTATGGACGCCAGTGCATACTCCCTTTAGTACCCCTCCGTGACGCATTCAACATAGGGCCTGACATGCCTTTGCGGTGCAACCTCTTCTCATACCGTCGCCACCGGTAATGCGAGAGCAGAGTTGTTCGAGTTGGCTCGGAGCTTAAAAAAGCGAGCGGTACACCAAAGTGGTTCGCCACCTTTTTGAGGTTGTGCGACATTTTGAGCACACACGGTGCCACCTCAGGCCTCATTTTGCTCTTGTGCCGTTTGCGTGTTTCCCGTACTGGTGTGTCATTTTACTTGTTCAAGGGTGCCTTCTACCACATTCGTCACGACTATTTCAGGGTAGCCCACTGACAATAGCCTGGTCACCGGTTTCTTAAATCTTGTCTGCACCCTGTGTGCACACACAATTGGACCACAAAGCATGTCGCGCAGCATGTTCAATGCATCACCGGGGGGGGGGGGGGGGGGGGGGGGGGGGTACTACATGAAATTCGCCTTACGTGTGGAAAGTTCAACGTAAGACAAGCGGGAAGCTGTGCGAATCACCAACTAAGGGAGTAAGAGCACAATACAAAGACTAATGGTGAGGCTAATTTCCCTGAACACTGCAGGAAATGTAAATGTGAGCAGCGCCTTTCTAAGAAAACGATTCTGTGTAAGGGCAAGAACCAGAAAGCGCACGCGTTAATGAAAGCTATACTTCAAATAAAAAAATGGGGCGCACAATGTGTAAGTTAAACAACTATTGCACTACATAGTGCGGAGATAAGACTTTTTTTTTTAGACGTTCCTGTGAATTGATGATAAAGCTTGTATCCCCTGCTCAAGCTCATGCGTGGACATGGTGAAGGTGACGAGATAGGTATTTCTTTCTTTTCTGCACTTTTCAAATATGATTGTGAGTGGCACCTGTGTGTGTGTGCTTTCTTCCTTGTGTCCGTTTGTTTTTTTCTCCTTAAACCAAGCTCTATAACGTTCACCGACTAGCACGGGACTCGACATGCTCTGCTTTTGTTAAGCTGTCAGTACCTCTTACGATCGTTGGTTAGCAGATTTTGTGGGTTATTAGGGAATGTAAAAAATGACGTCGTAGTGTATTATAGAAGTACGGTTGAAAACGGGAAGTGTGAAGGCAAGACCTGGGCGGGATATCGGTCTCTGATAACGGATGATGCTTGGCTTCCCGCGTGCCTATTGGCTGAGATATGTCACTGTAGCTAGGGAAAAAGGGCAGAGCGGCCATGACTGTGATCGGTTGGAAATACCAGCTAAG